CTGTTTACGTCTTGTTTAAAATTTAATTGAAATTCATCTGTCGTTGAACTAATGATTATCGTTTATCTGATTTGTTTAACACATTTTAGGTCATTCGTAACTTGCCCGCGGTGAGATTGGAGCCTTAGTCTTTCAGCTTGAGAAACATGAATGGTAACCATTTACTCTAGGCCCGTATTCAGTTAAACATTATAAATGCAAAATCAGTAATCAAATTGATTTCATTGAAAGCAGGATTAGTTTTCCGTTTGCTTCAACAGTGTAAAATTTTGCTCTCATTTTTGCTGTGTTAACCGTTAAGTCAACCAAAATGAGATCAACTGGAGTATTCAAAATAAGTTACATCATAACAGCAAATTCTGATTTCAATTTGATCTTCAGCTTTGCTCGGGAAGACATCAAGACGATTAGACGTAAACTTGCAATTGTATCACACTTTTTACTATGTGAAAACGCGCTTCTTAGTCAAATTTGGTGTGAAATGCGCAATATTTGCTTTATATAATTTATGTGTATTATATACCATTCTAGTACTTTAAATAAATTCCAGATGATCATGCTGACCGATTTTTACGGGAGATACAGCACATCACTTTGATTTCAATAGCATTATGTTAAAAACAGGATTTTTTGGAGCATTCCAGATTTTTCCAGATTTTTTATTTTAACTGGTGCAGATTTTTCTGAAAATGACCTGGCAACGCTGACCTCAACCGACTTCCCCAATCTCAGGCATCCGGTGAAGATCAGCATCGATGGCACCTATCGTTTGGTCTTGGGTTTGGTCACGTTTGGCCATCAATTTTGTTGCCAAATCTCCGGGCAAATATTGTTGCTTCCAGAGTTTGAACATGCAACAATCACAAAAGCAGGTGCTCAAGAAAGAGACAGTTCACATCACACAACACACTAAAAACAACATCAGCATAATGCTCGATAATTCTACCACATCCAAGATTATCGATGAATAGGTAATGAAATCGGATAATATCGACAGGTGCTTGTAATTATTCATAACGACTCGAATTTGTGAGTGGGCTCATTGTACCTCTCGTTCGAAGACTAGCCCAGTCCATCGTGGCGAGGCGGTCAGACACATCGTTGAATGGTTCTCTTTCGATTGCTGCCTGACCTCGAGGTAAGACGTGTGGACATGCGCAATGCCAAAGATATCTAATTAACAAGATATCCCACTAATCAATTCCTCATACAAGCCATATAATTACCACCCGTATGTGATCGCAGTGCCATCTGTTGAGTGTACATTGAAACTGTTGGGAGTTCCCCGCCAACTTCACCAGCTGGGCTCAGTAACTGACAGGTGTCAGCATGATAGATGTCAATGCGGACGTTTATGATCAGCCGAGGAAAGAGGACGATATCATCCTCGAAGTCATCATCATTATATTGCGATAGCAAGATTCTTACTTGTTTGTGATTGTTCCGATTTTCAATCATTAGATACCACTTTATATGCAACAGAAACACTTGAGAAAACATTCACACATCCAAGCGCGCATTATGATGTGCTTGTAATATGTTTTGCTTTCGAGCGAAAGAGTTTCCAATATACCACCGGTATCAGTAAGATGCAAATCTCTAAGTAATTGATGATTTGCGGAGCTGGTGCTCAAAAGAATCTTAATAAGCATAGAAGTAAACATGGGAAAAGCATTCACTCGCTTTAAAGAATTATTCCAACACCCCAGTCACTGGAAATGCAACGTATCGAAATCATTGCTAAACGTAATAAAATACGCCGTCTTCTTTGGCTAACACAGCACGCATTCTATTCAAAAATTACATTGGAATAATCATTACTTTCTTAGCTTAGCTTAGCTTAGTCTGACTGCACGTATCGATAGTTGCACTCCGTGATTGATCTGAACCAGTGAAATTGTACAAAGAATCAACTGAATGGGGCTTGGGAGTAACCTGCCATTCTCAGTGTACATGTTCCAGTGACTCCTACCTTTAAAGATCAATAACGTCACCGGCCACGTCCTTGCAATCAGGTGGGAGAGGGAAGGAATGTTAGTGTGTGACTTTTGTTGTTTTGGGACCGTGTTTACCTCTGCATCCCACAAAAGTCACAGGAAGGAGGTTTTGTTAGTGGGTTAGGTTCGTTGGATCAGGATTCACCTTGATAAGTGATGCGATCTTTTGTTTTGTGTAGTTATTTATAAGTATTTTCGATTTATGCTCTAAACAGCCGGCTGTCTAGAGATGTAGATCATTATTAGATGTGTGTATACCGATTTAAACCAACAATAAGGATACTGTTGGGGCCCCTCACAAAGTGTGATGATGGTTTATTTTATTTTATCAATGACCAAAATAATTAATTATAAGCGGTTTGAACCGATTTAAACCAACAGCAAGGATGCTGTTGGGGCCACTCACAAAGTGTGATGGTGGTTTACTTGATTGAATATAAAATAATTATTAGAACCGATTTGACCCGATTTAGACCAACGGCAAGGATACTGTTGGGGCCACTCACAAAGTGTGATGGTGGTTTATTTAGTTCGGAAGAAAATGAATATGTATACTTCTTTTTTTTTTATATAATAGAACGAATTTGTACTGATTCAAACCAAAAGCAAGGGTTCTATTGGGGCAACTCACGAAGTGCGATGGTGGTTTATACTATAAGGGCATAAAACAAAATCAAGAGCCATTTCGGTTTCCATAGCTTCCTAGACACTCGGCCGCAAAATAATCTTATCCGACGGAAACGTCTCGATCATCGCGCGATTTACCTTATTGATTCAAATTCCGAACAGTGCGTTAAAATCATCCTTTGAAAAACACCTTTTTTACCTAAAATATTGTTGATCCGCTCAGAATGTATTTAAACTCACGACATTGGAATAATCATTACTTTCCTATATTTTATAACATAGGAAGTATTTGTCAACGCCGGTGAAAGCAAACGCAAACGGAAGTAGAAGAAGCTGAATGAAGACGATGAATGATGACACCGATTAGTGTTTTGATTTGCGCTGTACCGTCCGCTCAGTTGTGTGGGTTCGTACATGTATAGATATTGGTGTGCCTGTTTTCTTCCAACGCTACAGTTCAACATTGTCTCGTCACAAACCGCTTGGCGCTGTTATCTGTCTCTAAAAAATCCAAAGAGTGAAGGGGGTCTGGCAATGCGTAAGTATGGAGCTCCGAAGTGCTGGGTGATTCCCGTCCTGAGTAGAAATACTCAGAGGGAGAGATAGGCGGAGAAAACAAAATACAATTCGGCAGCAGGGATTTGTTCCTAAATTATCTTGCAACCCTTGCTAGAAGCTAGCATTTCAAATGACTTTTATTTTTGATTCGATTTACGTGCAAAATAATAATTGATTGCATTGCAATATTTTGCACATTTCTTGGTGCCATTTATTAACCAACGAAGATCAATTAATCAATAGAGTTAGAATATTGTTTTTGGTTCCAAAAACTAGTTGAATTTGAGAAGCACACAAAACATAAAGGTGATTGAATTTCTGTTCGATTGCAATACACTGGAGTTGCTTTTTACGCACTTTTTTTTTACGCGGATTTCGGATTTTAGTTTACGCGGATTTCAGAATTTACGCGGTTTATCGTTATACACTAGAGTTGCTTTTTAAGCGGTTTTTTTTTAGACGGTCTTTTTTTACGCGGTTTTTTTTTTACGCGGATTTCGGAATTTACGCGGTTTTTTTACGCGGATTCCGGAATTTACGCGGTTTTTTTTAAGCGGGACGTATCACCCGCGTAAAAAGCGACTCCAGTGTACTCTGAAATTTATTCTAGTAAGGCTGTGAACCATTTGCCGAGTTAAATTTAACTCGTGGTTAAAAGTGACATTTCGAAAGTTATTTTCTATGTTCGAAAATCCCCGTGCTGTCGATCGACCGGTTTTCGAGCCACGGTTGTCAAAATTTAACTTCTTGTCTGTCAGAAATAACCATGCTCGGATAGCAGGGTTAATCGATAACTTTTCATCTGTCAAATTTTAACCAAAAGTTAAAATAATCCACCAAATGGTTCAGAGCCTAAGAAAAAGAAATCATCGGAAAAATTCTAATTGGAATGTTTGATTGGCTAAGATTTTGACAGTTCATTTGACTCAAAACATTATCTCCGCCCATCTCTCCCTCTGAGTATTTCTAGTCCTGAGTATGGTGCTCACAGAATTTATCTTAAAAAATCGAAATTTTGAAGCAAATTTTATAGAAATCTATTATATGAAATATAAAGCGGATAACTTTCGTCCCCCTCGAATGAAACGGACAGTGTGTTTCCATCCTTTTCCATCTTTATGTTCGAGAACACCCACCCCCGGATGCAGTTTTAGCACCCGGTGGACGCTAACGATTTTAATTTGGCTCACTACTTGACTAGCCTATTGGTCCCAAGCAAATCGATTGAAGTACCCCATTCTAGTCGAAATTTTAGTACTACACAATGTTTGTTTTGATTCGATATGAAAGTTTGACAGATAAAATGAGTGGTTCGTGGATTTTCTTATGTTTCGAGGGGTGCATCGATTAGCTTGGGATCGAAGTGAGTACCAGAGCAGAGCCAACTGACTCAACGCGTAGGTAAAACGAAAATGTAACGCTGTATATCTCGAACCAGTGAGTAAAACTAACAAGACCGCCACCATTTTTCTTCACTTCATAAATGAGTAATAAAGGTTTTTTTCATAAACCGAATGACTCCACTTTTTGCAATTATGAGTCGATTCGACTCAATTTTGAGTCGATCTCATTCGTCGTGGCAGATTTTTGACTGTCGCTCTACTCTGCACTGCTGACTGCAAATCGACACGACATACAATGAATCGCAAGAAGAACTGTAATAACCATTATTCGTTGAGATTACTGAGCATGCTCACGTCTATCAATGCTTGGAAAAACTCGTTAGTAAGAGACATAGGTATTCAAATTGTTTTTCAAACGATACCCATCAAAATCGACAACATGTCCAAACTTATAACCAGCTCGAAGCGTACTCACCATTATGAACGCGCTCCCGTTCCGTATTGTAGAGGAACGTCCCGAAGCGACACGAGTAGAGATGATCGAGAATGGTGATCAGAAAATATTCATTGAACTCAAGAGCGTGCGGAAACTGCTTCGTGATTTGCCACACACAGTCAATAAACTGCAGGAATACGGGCGAACGATCCGCGTCCGAGTGGTGATTGTCTCCGTGACCGATGCGCTACGTGAGGGACAATCATTGGTTGACTTTTCATTAATATTTTAAAACGAGAGAAACTTACCTGTTCGAATTTGTGTCCAAAACTGAGCCATTCCTTCTCGATTAGCACTTCAAAGCCTTTCAGAGTGCGATAGTAGGGATCCAGCAACAGCATGGCTAAGGCCGTCAACTGTGATGTGCGATCCCACCCATCCGAACAGTGAACCACGACCGACATGCGCATATTTTCGATCTGAAACAAAATTAAAAAAAAAACACACTCACACTCAGAAGAAGTTGATAAGAACTAACAACTTCAATTCGCTTTACCCTATCGACAATCCGAACAGCCCCAGCCAGAATACACTTGATGTGCTTCAACCAGAGGGTACTTTCAACCGCCGAAAGCCACTTCTGGTCGTCACTGGCAGGAAAGCAAATTTCCTTCAGTTTCCTCAGGCTCTCCCGCATCACGTGAATGTTGTGGATATCCAGGAAGGTAAGCTCGACATTTTTGTACGCATCTTCCGACTCGTACCCACCCCCCTTAGCTTTGTTCGCAATGGCATTTGCATTCGGCCGTGCATCGAAGATCGACAGCTTATCCGATTGAGCATTTGCCTCCATGATGTAGTTGATGTAGGTCTCGTCGGCATCGTTCCGTTTTCCGCTAACCCCGACCAGTGGTTGCGAGCAGCGAGTGATCGTAGCCAACGACTTAGGATGTATCCAGCAGAGTACGGGCAGACGGTTGCGGGAACGGAAATTGGCTACCTGCCGAACCAGATCGTCTTTTGCCGTCTTGGGAACAGCCCACACGGAAGGGTAACTGTCACAAATCTCGTACTTGTCGTTGATTCTCGTAATCCTCCAGGTGTCATTGTTGGCACTGTTAACACCCATCCGGCGAAGCTCGGCGACTGGCTCGTACACGGTCCAGCCGTCCTCCGGAAATCTTTCCTTATAATTAAATGCAAACAGCTGCTGATTATTAGCCAATGGGAAGGCGTAAAGCTGTAGCTTTTCAAATACAGTTCGACGGGAATGGTTCTCCTGTTTATGAGCGAAGCGCAGATTCCGCATATCCTTGCAGAAAATGTCGATTCCGTAGGAATTTTCTCCCCTGGAGCTGGCTCCTCCGACTTTTTCGATTCGACTCACGGCTCCTAAAGGACAATCAACTATTACTACCGGATCCTTATCGGTTGATGGTTGCGACCGGAAGTGCAGTCTGTAGTTGGTAATGTTCAGAGTTCCAACTACCGGTCCACTGTACGGGCAAATGTACGACACGTCGTTTTTTATGTCCTGCATGTTCTCCCCGGAGAGATACGTAAACGAAGATTCATTCGCAACCTATTGAATTGATACAACGAATTATGTAAATTATTATTTCCGTAAAAAGCAACCACACTCACAATCGTATCCATTCCGTGTTTGGAGTTCAACGAACTTGACTTCGAATCGGAATCCAGCGAGTTCGAACTTCGACGAAAGTCCGAATTGTGGTGATGATCCATAACCGCTATCCGAACCGGCTCTGTCCAGATCCGAGACTACGCCCCCACTAGGCACTGCTGACCGAAGATGATGCTGCTGTGTTTACGTGTATTGACGCAACGCTGCTGGAACTGGAGCAAAATCCGTCGTAGAATATTTCGCTTATCATGCGAACCACACGCTCATCGACTATCACAAAACACAGTCCAATAGGATGGGATTGAATTGAACCCAAATATAAACAATTAGATTCAATTATTTGGCAATAAAACGGAATTAATAAACACCATCAGCAAAGTAGGGTAGCTACGGGAGGAAAATGGAAATTTTACATGACTTTTGACAATCATCATCGTTCGAAGCACCGAAGAAGAATCAAAACAAAAGCGCGATACAATGTTGCCAGAGGGCAGAACGGTGGACGCTGTTGCGCAGCACACTGACTTTGTCGCACAACAGGTACTAGAATATGACATACGTTGCATGAGGGACACAGCTAATTTGAGAACAGATTAAAAACTTACTATAGGAAATAAAATCATAATATCATGAAAGAAACGCCACGAGGCTTTACCGATCGGATGTAAAATAGACGATATTCAACGGACAATCGACTTTGATTTTGTCATTTCACGACACCTCGCTATGATCTCAAAATGTTGTAAATGCCTAAATGTATGTATCTCCTACACACTTAGATTTTTTTTACAGTACACTGTAATTTTTACCGAATATACACACTAAGATTTTTTTACAGTATACTGTAATTTTTTACCGAATATGGAACAGCAGAACATTCGGTAATCGATTAGGTAATTTTTTTGTTTTACAGTACGTTCAGTAAATTCAACTTCACTCTTGAGCTGTCAAAGTTTACTGAACCGCACTGTAAATATTGCTGAATGATTGGTAAAGTTTACCGAACGTTTTGTTATAGATCAGTGCACGGTCCCTAACCTCACTTTTTGCTCCCTATCATTTTGCTTCTGAGTAAAAGAGATAGCAACGAATGGGAGCCAAAACAAACCACCCAAAACTGTCAAAACTTACGGGTGAGAGAAGAGTGCGGCAAATCTTCGTGAACTGATCAATAGCATTTTGATGAGTTTTTTTTCAGTATTTGATGGAAACAACAACAAATAATTTATTGAAACGTTAAAAAACTTTTATTTTTTCCTTTGTTGGCATGAGATGGTGATTGAGAAGGTTTTATGCTAGTGATTCCTCGAGGAACATAGAAACTTGACTCTACGTAGACCGGAAAAGGCTGACGATAGTAAAAGCTGTTGATGTACACTATGTAAAAAAAATGCAAATTAATTTAAACATAGACCGATCGGTACTTGCGGGCTGTACTTACCGAAGAGATCTCGAACCCCTTACTTAAAGTTGTCATATATTGAAGTATTTCCATGATTTTTCGGACATTGACATTTGAATAAATACTTTTTCACACCGGAGATTCAAAGAACAACTTCAAAATGGCAGCCAAAGGTTGAGTATAACAGTAGGGAATCCGCAAATCTGCTCGGTATTTTTTGCTAAAATCCAGCACATCACTACCGTTTGTTTTCTGTAAAACATTTTTCTACAGAACATTCGTCATACTTTTTTACAGTATTGCGGAATTCCAACAATTTACAGTTTTGTTCAGTATTTTTTTCTACAGTATTTGGTGATTTTCTGTAGCTTACGGAAGTTCAGCAATTTGGATTGCTATAAATTGGTAAAAACAAAAAAAAAATACAAAACATTCTGTTTTACGGAACGAATTCAGCAGAAAAAGTACCGAACATAATTTAAGGAATTTGGTGTGTAAGGGATCGAATCCAACATTTATTAAGGATTCTTACCCAGCCACTCCAAAGGAAGAGATAGGAACGTCAAATGTTCATCAAGCACCTAAACCTAATATTTTTTATCAGATTATTCCCGTTACTTTACGCAACGGTTCGTATAAGGTCAATACATACGCATTTTTAGACCCAGGTGCTTCACTGACGCTACTAGACGAAAGTATTGCTGAAGAGTTACATTTAGAGGGCAGAAGTGATCCACTCAAACTAAAGTGGACACAAAACTTTTCCCGTGAAGAGACAAATAGCAAGCGTGTAAGCTTGCGAATTAAGGGAGAATCAGAAAGAGAATATACGCTCAAGGGTGTTAGAACAGTTTGTGATCTGCACCTTCCAGTGCAATCTCTTGATTATGAACAATTAACCAAGAGATGTCCACACTTGCGAGGTCTTCCGATAAAGAGCTACGGAAATATTCAACCGCAGCTATTAATTGGCTTAAATCATAGCCATTTGTTAGCACCATTCTCAAGAAGAGTGGCAGGAAATGGTGATCCAATTGCCATCAAAACTAAATTGGGATGGTTAATATTTGGAAACCAAACCCACTTGGAAATCGTAAATCCAGAGCATGTATGCGTAATTCAGCATCAAGATGAAATGCTCACGGTAATGAATAAATATTTTTCAATTGAAGACTTTGGCGTCAAAATTCCTGAAACAATGCCTCAATCCACAGAAATTTTAAGAGCGCAGGAAATTATTGACAAAACCTTGAAGCGCAAAGAAAATAGATATGAAATTGGATTGTTGTGGAAGGAAGATAACTTCCAGTTTCCAGAGAGCTATAATAACGCGTATAAACGCTTACGAACTTTGGAAAATAAATTAAAAGGAGACGCCAGTCTAAAGAAATGGGTAAGCGACACCATTAAAGATTATATTGACAAGGGTTACGCTCGAAAGCTAACCGAACAGGAAATTAGAGACTGGTCTGATGACATCTACTATCTCCCACACTTTGTGGTTATTAATAAAAACAAGCAACCTCCGAAACCTAGATTAGTGTTTGACGCAGCTGCAAAAACCCACGGTGTGTCTTTTAATTCCGCGCTACTAAGGCTGTGAAGCATTTGCCGAGTTAAATTTAACTCGTGGTTAAAAGTGACATTTCGAAAGTTATTTTCTATGTTCGAAAATCCCCGTGCTGTTGATCAATCGGTTTTCGAGCCACAGTTGTCAAAATTTAACTTCTTGTCTGTCAGAAGTAACCACGCTCGGATAGCAGGGTTAATCGATAACTTTCCATCTGTCAAATTTTAACCAAAAGTTAAAATAATCCACCAAATGGTTCAGAGCCTAACGGGACCGGATGCGACAACATCAGCGTATGGCGTCTTAGCAAGATGGCGAGAAGGACCCATCGCCTCTGCCGGATATATAAAGGAGATGTTCAACCAGGTAGGGATGAACGAGATGGACCAGCGTAAGCAGTGTTTCCTGTTTCGAGATGATGAAAATCAAAACCCAGATGTCTACATCATGCAAGTAATGTTATTTGGATCTACTTGCTCCCCAGCCTGTGCACAAGTCGTTAAAAACTATAATGCTGCATTGTATAAGGACATAAAACCCAAGGCAGCGGAAGCAGTAGTAAAACAACACTACGTCAACGACTACATCGACAGTTTCAATACAATCGAAGAGGCCAGTTCAACAATAAAGGACGTCATCGAAATTCACGATAATGCTGGATTCTATATAAGAAACTTTGTTTCAAACAATAAAGCATTACTAGCGACGTTACCTAAGGATCGAGTACAGCAAGGTACTGTACGAATTTTAGAAGACAAGGATGCGATGGATGAAAAAATCCTTGGTGTTTTTTGGAACACGACTCTGAACTATTTAAGCTTCCAGTTAAAGCTTAATCGTCTAGATCCGGAAATAAGGAACGAAGGTAGAAAACCGACTATGAGAGAGTTACTATCCTTCATAATGAGATTCTACGATCCATTGGGATTGATATCAAATTTAACAATCCATGGAAAAATACTCATGCAAGAAGTCCATAAGGAGACGTCAGATTGGGACAGCGTAATTTCAAATCATCTGAACGTTCAATGGAAACATTGGCTTAAAATCATACAGACAGCCACAAATATAAAAATACCAAGGTGGATTTTAAGTAAAAACTACAAAACATTTGAGCTACACACCTTCGTCGACGCATCAGAATATGCGTATGCTGCAGTGATATACGTGAGAGGCGTAGGAGGTTCTGGTGAAACTATGAGCGTTAAACTGATGACCGCAAAATCAAGAGTGGCACCAGTTCGTAAGCTCTCAATACCAAGACTTGAATTGCAAGCTGCAATCTTGGGCTCCCGCCTATTATACACTGTCAAACAAGAATTGAGAATCCAACCAACAGTATGTACATTTTGGTCTGATTCTCAAACAGTGTTATCATGGATTTACTCCGACCATCGAAAGTATAAGCCATTCATAGCCTATCGAATTGGTGAAATACTTGAAAGTACAAAAATGGAACAATGGCGTTATGTTCCCACTAATTCAAATCCTGCTGATGAAGGAACTAAAGAACTAAAAGGAGAGTCCAAATGGATAACAGGGCCTTCCTTCTTAAAGAATCCTGAGTATCAATGGCCGAAATCCAAATTTTCTCGAGAAACTCAGGAAGAAATAAGAGACGTTGTCATGTTTCATGCGTATGACGACCCAGAATTCGAGTTTATCCACGAGCATCGATATTCGGATTGGAATAAATTAGTTCATCATATAAGCATCCTGAAAAAGTATGCCGACTGGATCAAAACAAAAGGAAATAAGATGGATCAACGAATAAGCTATGCAGACAGAAAGATTGCGGAGAAAGCCTTAATAAGAAAAGCACAATGGGACGAGTTCACAGAAGAAATGGAAGACTTAACCAGAAATGGAAGTTTAACCATACATAGCTCATTGGCAAATTTAACACCAACATTAGACGAACATGGTGTTATGGTATCCCAAAGTCGATTACGAAATGCCCAAATAGTTCCGTTGTCATGTAGACAACCAATAATTCTCTCCAATAAACATCATATAACAAGATTAATAGTAAAGATGTATCATGAGAAATATCTACATCAGGGTAATAATGTAACTTTGGGAGCCGTTCATCAAAAATATTGGATATTAAGGTCTAGAGTAGTTCTGAACAACGTCAGAGCGAATTGCCAAGAGTGCAAAAATAGAAGAGCCGCACCAGTACCACCACAAATGGCAGCTTTACCGGATTATCGACTCAACATGTATGCACATCCTTTTTCACATACCGGAGTGGATTACTTTGGACCATTTGAAGTGGCTGTTAAACGATCTACGGAGAAAAGATGGGGAGTGATCTTCACTTGCCTAACAACACGAGCCGTTTACATCGAGCTTGCTGAACGACTAGATTCAGATTCCTTCATCGTTTGCCTACGAAACTTTCAGGCAAGAAGAGGAAAAGTTACACACCTTTATAGTGACAATGGTACAAACTT